CAATCTATATATATATATATATATATATATATATATATATATTCATATTCCATGGCGGAAACGGGCTTTCATACCTTGCATTGTTCAAACAATGCAACTACATTTAACAACCACACCACATCTTCCTTCTAATCTAAAAACGGTATGGAAATCTGATCCCCCAATTACAGCCATGTGTTTTTTGCATACGGCTTATGTAATCATCAAGATGCTGCTCTTCTGTCTTGTTTCTCTTTCTCACCGTGAATCAGTAGTGGCAACAGTGTGTTGACAACAGCTTTTAATACAAGATAAAGGTACAGGTATGATGGGTATAAAGTGATTTACAACACCATATAAACCATAATAAGCCTCTATCATCAATACACACATAAAATTTCCACATGCTGGAATGGGAGAGAGTTTCCTTCTCACTTATCAGGCTGTGTGTGTGTGTGTGTGTGTGTGTGTATGTGTGAGAGAGAATAATATTAACCTAGTCACTTCATTTATCAGCAACTTCCTGAGATCTTCATAAAATTCTTTATTTATTCTTTATTGTTTATCTTTCCATTTATATGAACTGGAGTAGGAAAAAAATGTGGACTAATAATTTGTTATGGAATTTGTCTCCATTACAACAGGAATATCTGCAAACAGCCAACATGACTCTCATCCTAAGTGCACTTGTAGTTGTGTTTGACAAGGCAAACATAATTACGTGTTTTTAAAGAGAATTCAGTGGTCTTTTTTGACTTGGATTAGTAACTAACCACCTAGCAACCACTCCAAACACCCTAGCGACATCCCTGCATCATGTCTGTGATTTTTGCATGAACAAACATGGCTCATAGATATTTAGAGCACTGATATCCACACTTGTTTGATTCAGTCTCATTCAAGGTCAGCAGAGATGTTGGAAAAATAAAACACGGGTATATTAGTCAGTGGATTCCTCACATTCAACTTAAGCTGGTTCAAATAACACCTGAGCGAGTTCAACAGGTATGACAGGGTAAAAAGAAAGAGGGAGGGAGAAACAAAGAAAAACATGCAGAAGAGGTGGAGACACGTCACTTACGTTAACTAACGGATGATGAAAACCACAGTGAAAGGCTTGAGGAAGGCGGAAAGGACTGGATTGCACACCTTTCACATTGCTTTGTTGGATGCACACCTAGACTGGAATATGTACTTCTGGAGCCAAGCGAACTTCAGAGGCACATGAACATCTGGGTTCAGCTACTCTTCAGCTCATAGGTAGTTGCATGCTTTTAGAAACATTTTTGTGTGTGTGTGTGTGATTTTAACTTTAAAAGAATCACTTTTAAGTTTGAAGGATGTGATCTTAAATGATTAGCTAGTGTTAGTCAGTATGCAAATGTAGCGTAATAATTAGTCAAATACAGGTACAAAAACAGGGCTAGACATCACATGGCTCTATTTAAATAACTATAAAGATTTTGAGTCAACTTTGAGTTCAATTACAAAAAAATATATGTTCTCTGGTAGTTGTTTTGTATGTTGGTGTCAAACACCATATTGAATTTGAATAATTTTTGTGAGTTCTTTCCTCCAAACTAAAATTCCAAAATCATATTTTTGCTATTTTACATGTATATATTGTCACATTTTATATTTTTATGTTTCATAACTTGTTTACTGTTTAAAAAACGTTTAATAGGCAGCTTCATTCTATTATTCCAATGTGACAACATGCCCCACTATTGGTGTGTTAAATGAATCATATCTTCTCTAATTATATTTTTGGAAACAATGTTGGAAAATAAATTTTTTGTCTTTACGTTGTGTTCTTAAAAGGAATTGACTTTCAAAAACAAGTCTACACTGGGAAATTCAGTGTGACAACTAGCCCCGGTCTCTCCTTTAAATGTAGGGTATATACATAATTAGTGACAGGTCTCAACTGACTTTATCTGGTTTGTGCTAAACCTGTGGGTGTGTGCTTTCAATTTGGAAAGTCATTTAGTCCAAAATATATGAATTATACCCACATAAACATGTTTTGAAAAGAACCTGTTCTGCATGTGCTCAATTAGTTAATGCACCTAAAAATGAATGTTTTGATAAAAGCAGACTGTTTTAAATGGCCAGTGGGTAAAACCTTTATAGTATGCAAAAACATGGACTATTTGATTCAAGAACATCTAAATTCAACCTAGGTATTACTTATTCATATTACACATCATGTTCAATAATCATTCATTTTCAAGCGATGTGTTTGTTTGCTATGAGACATTCCAATTTTGTGACTTTCATGACTTGACTCATAGAGTTAAAGCTTAACCATAAGCACACAGAATGAAACTGGGATCTGTAACCTGTTGTAAAACCTTGATATTCTGGTTTGCATTCCTGTACAGTCAGACTTTAGAGTTTAGGTCAAACACTCATTTGGGTTTTTCACACTAATTTGTTGATTTGATTTGAAACCCCTGTAATTTTATGTACATACAGTGCCGTGAAAAGGTTTTTGCCCCCTTCCTGTTTTTTTAATTTTTTGCATATTTGTCACACTTAAAAGATTCAGATCATCAAACCAATTTTAATATTACGCAAAGATAATGCAAGTAAATAAAAAATGCAGTTTTTAATTGATTGCAGTTGTTGCTGCAAAGGGGTGGCACAACCAGTTATTAGATTTAGGGGGCAATTACTTTTTCACGTAGTGCCAGGCAGGTTTGGACAGCTTTTTTCCCTTAATAAATGAAATCATAATTTCAAAACTGCAGTTTGTACTCACTCAGGTTATCTTTGTGTAATATTAAAATTTGTTTGATGATCTGAATCTTTTAAGTGTGACAAATATACAAACAATTAAAAAAACAGGAAGGGGTCAAAAACTTTTTCACACCACTGTATAGACCAGGCGATAGATAGATAGATAGATAGATAGATAGGTTGTGCACTCAGTTCATTTTCATTCAGTGTTATCAACCTCATAAACATGCAAATAAGAACAGTAGCCTGAGGTTTACAAATGTACAGTGTATTAATTACTAACCCAAGATTACTTATGAACAGTGTAAAACATGGAACAAAATAACTCTATAACCCTGTAAAGCCTGACATACAAAATAATAGACAAATCAATTTTTTACTTGATTTATTTATTTTTAATGGAGGAGTTTACTGAACCTTTAGACAAAGTATATAAAAAAAATATTTAAAAAGTTTGCATTTGTGTTTTTGTCAGGCTTTTATGGCTCATATATAGGTGAATGTGGAGGTCTCACTTGAGGAGGAAAAAAAATTGCAATTTGGTGCGATTGCTAATATGTATGAGGCCAAAAAGTAAGATGAAATTATGATAACTTTGTAACTTTTTTTTGTAACTTTTTAGTTGTAACTATATCTCCCAATAATATTTCTTAGAAAAAAAAATATTGATCAAAGATTTGTAGTTTTTATTGTGGGGGCAAAACATATAATGTAATACAATAAATGTTCCTCGAAAGCTTGATGTATCATATTTCATACTTACATTTTAAAATGATGTTTTCTAAAACTAATGCATGGATAATCAAGTAAACATAAGTTGCTTCAGTCTAGTAAGTATTTTGAAATAGTGCTAAAAAAAGTTTTTCCTTCATTTTTTGTAAAACTGTAAAAATTTAAATGCAAAACGTTTTTAGAATTATACTAAAAGGCCTTTTACTTGCTATAAATTATAAATTATAATATAAAAAATTATAAATTATAATCAGACGACAGAAGTTATGTAGTAGACAGGGACGCGGGAAGTAGGGGTGCTGAGGGGGCTGCAGCACCCCCTGTTTTCACATGGCAACACCAGCCCCAGCACGAGCACCGACGTAAGTGAACCAGCTCCAGCACGAGCACGGAGACAAGTAAGCCTATCGGACCCAGCCCAACCCCCGAGATTGATCAGCTACTATCGATAATTTCAAAAATGTGATATGCAGTCAAATTTCCCAGTGTGTATGCCACTTAAACGAGTGTTCATATCGATGCACTTGTAGTGCTTTGTGGAGTTGTCAAACGAGGTGACCCCCCGCCCCCCTTTCACCCAACCCGGACAAACACAGCACTCCCAACCGAAAACATCTTCCCGCGCCCCTGGTAGTAGACTGTGTACAACAGGATTTTCAGCAAAGTTTTGATCATGTTGAAAATTTAGAAGCCTTTGCATATCAAATAGGAAGCAGTAGGCTTAGGGTTAAGAATGACCCTTGGTTCAAACTCCGAGTCATTCAAGGCCTATAATGGAATTAAAAGAAAAACAAGCAATAACCACTAGTGTATGACCGACTAAACTCCTGTTCTCGTCGCACTTGACTGCTAATGGTACAATTCAGTTCACAATCTCCACCCTTGAATTACATAGCTGTACGCTTTGGTGATCCGAGTTTATTATTGAGGAACTTTACATACACAAGCTCTTAAAGGTCACTCTTAAAAGTCTCAGAATTTCAAATCTGTTCCAGAGTCTTAATGAAATCATGTGCCTGTTGTGAAAACCATCGATTGTACACCTATGGCATCTATGGTTCCATGAAGAACCGTTAACATCCATGGAAACTTTCCATTGCACAAAAGCTTCTTAATTGTGGAAAAGGGTTCTTTAGATTATTAAAATGTTCTTCACTCTAAGAAAAAGTTGTTCATTAAAGAACTGTTCAATGACAGGTTATTTATTGCCATTGATGGTTCCATGAAGAACCTTTAACATCTACGGAATTTTTCCATTCAACAAAAGGTTATTTATAGTAGAAAAAGATTCTTCAGATTCTTCAAAATTGTTCTTCACACTAAAAATGGTTCTTTTAAGAACCGTTTATTGAAAGCTTCTTTTGGGGAACCCGAAATGGTTATTCTACGACATGATATGGAGTGTATTTGTAACCTAGACTGATTGTAGATTGAGTGTATTGTTCCATCTTCCCTCACAGGTTTCTCTGCTCAACACTTCCATTTTCTCTTAATCTGCTCCCGTGGATCTACATGATGAGTGACGGCAAAGAGAAACCCAAGGGCAGCAAAAAAGGGCCCAACGTCAAGCCAAAGCTTGACAGCAAGGGTAGCTTCAACATGGGAACTTCAGAGCAACGACAGAAGCCTGTTAGGAGAAGCCGCAGCAATGAAGTGGAAAACCGGCGTCATCAAAGTAGCCGAGGTAGAGAACGGGACCGGAAAGAGGGTGGAAGGCAACAACGGGGTCGCAGCGAGGAGGGAAGGATGCGAGACCGCGACCATGAGCCTGGACACCACAAGACCGAGCAACCCAGAGATGATCTGCAGGACACGGAGTGCATCGTGTGCTTCTGCAGCTTTGACAATGTCTTCAAAGCTCCCAAGCTACTCTCCTGCGGACACACGTTCTGCTTGGAATGCCTGGCGCGCATCAACGTGAATTCTCCAGAGATCAAGACGTTGACTTGTCCGGTCTGTCGGGAGCTGACGGAAATCCGACACGGCCGAGATCTACCACGGTTGGTAAATAACGAAGACATCTTCCGCAAACTTCCGGCCGAGATGCAACGGGTGCTTTCTGTGCGCTTTAAACGCAGCAAGGGCAAACTCGTCCTCAAGAATCCGCCACCAAACAGCTCTATTAAGACCACCTTAAATCTGCCGGTGTTGAAGAAGAAAGAGGAGCAGGCCGGCGGTAACCCGCTTGGAGTCATGGAGGAAGGTCTCGGCCAGGCGACTATGGTCGACGTGGGAAGGCCGCCAAGCAGGATGAGGGGTCGCATGAGAAGGATAATGTATTCCAATCAGTGCTATTATGCGGTCGTTGCAGCCATCATCGCAATCACTGTGGCTTTAATGCTGGTGGGCATCTTCACCTTTGTGGCGATGCCCTTTATGCAAAGACCAATTAGACCATTCCAGAACCAAACTTCTCCAAACCCATGGCCTTGAGAGATGAGGAAACTGACAGCACAGAAGAAGGATGACGGGCAAAGCAAAACAAGCAATTGTTGGTGGGGCCTGTTGCATTGAACACAACACAGCATTTTTTTGCTTTTGTGTAAGATGCTTCAGACAGACTCGATAGGAATGAACTGGAAAAACTTGAACATATGATGCACTGAAGTCTATTGAGCATGGACGTATTTTGCACAAACTGAGACATTGTTTTGGAAAGGTCTTTAAGTACAAGAGGCAATGATGATGTCTATTCTGACCAGTGATGAACTGTATTTTTCAAACTATAAATCAATGGAAATTATATATATATATATATATATATATATATATATATATATATATTTCTTAAAGGGCTGGATAATATTAAATAATATTATCATATAATATTACTATGCCATTTGATTTCATGAATAATTATATATTTTCATGTATTTCTTCTCTATATGGTTTCTGGTATTAACTAAAATGTGACAGCTCGCCAATGCAAATCACCTCAGTCTAAAAATGTACATGGCAACACTAATGTAAGCTCATAAATGTTCTTTCTTTTGTTAGAAAGACATTTATTAGAAATAGATACTTCTTTGACATATGCTGCACATAATGTAAATAATATACTCTATGTATAATTATACTGTATGTTACTATTATTTTTTATTCTTTTGCACAAATGGGGAGAGGCCAAAGTGGAAAATAATAAACGTTTAAGACCATTCTCCGTTTGAGTGACATAATATACCTACAATTACAACTTCAATCAGAAAACATCTATAAGAATAAACTTAAACTTGATATTGTCAATGGCTTCCCAAAGTCATAGACAGACACATGGTTTACTCACATGTCACCTTCTAAATTAAATTAAGCATAAACATACCAATATTTCGTTAGTATATGAGAACGGCTGTTTCAGCAGGACTTCAGTATCATAAATAGGGGTAAAACTAGTGAAGGCCTATAACTATACACACATAAGGACAAAACAGCAGATAAACAAAAATATGTTGCAGTTCTGTTTTGATAGCAGGGTAAAAATGCTCAAATGCAAATACAAAATTCAAGTAACCTAACTTGCATATTGAATAAATATGGTGGAAAACATTGATTTGTTAATGTCAAGGTCATGCGTCCAGACAAAATTGCACATTTTGGACAATATGGATAATACTAATACATTTAGCCCAATGGTTGATTCTGCCAAATTGTCAGTTTCAGTCTTTAATATAGGTTAGAGGCTATATTTGTGCTCTTTAAATGGTCTGTATACATACGAATATTGTATATTATACTGTATATTTTATTGGTAAATTGGGAGATGATTATTTATATAATCTGTGTACAAATTGTTAAATTTTTTTTTATATATATAAAAGAGTTAAACAAACGCTCTCGAAAAGAAATTGACTAGCAGAAATCATGTTATCGTCAGGTAACCAGCAACAGAGCGATTATTGAACTGGATCATTGACAAATCGTAAATATGTTATTACTATCATTATTATAAATGTACATTTCACATAGCCTATATAATGTTTAAAATTAGGGTGCCCGAAGGAGTTAACCTCCTTTTCCTTATTTCCAGACTTTTCCTGATTTCTTGCAAGTGCCTTACAATTAAAGGTCTCCTCTCAAAAATAACCTATAATTCGCACACCGTGTACACGAGGGGGGCATGTGAAGGCCTAACGTTACACGATTTTGCACACATGCGGGTTGAATAACCAACACCCCTCGATCTGACGCAAGTCTTGTAGCGAGGATAACGCTGGGTAAATTGATGCATTCAGTGTCAAATTCGGGCTCTGGGGTCTCTCAACCCCTCTTTATGCACCCAAAAGTGAATTTAGTCGGCGTTAATCGTAAGGACTGCATTTAAAAGGACCACAAGAGTCCCAAAGGAAAGTGCGATGGCTTCGACACCCTCCGCTTCAGCCCTGTCAGCAGTTCTCCGGTGTCAGGGGAATATCCTCGCCCGAAAACAGGCGAACAAGAAGCGGCCTCCAGCTTCGGTGTACGGGCTCGGGATGACATGCGGAGATTCGGTCAAATCTTATTTTCGCTCTCTTTGGGGATTCATATTTCACAGGGAGCGAGTGGAGATTCCCGGAGTTTTGTCCGTTACAGCGCGATTTGAAACGGGCTGTTCAGGAAAATCTTCGAGAAGAAATGGTGAATCCAAAGATCTTCTGGTCAAAAGCTCCCTAAAGACTGACAACAAAATGTTAACTATGAAAGTATCAAGTGAACCAAATCAATGGCCAAAGACGAAACTGACGTCGAACAATACTTTTGCTTTTAAATCCCAGCGTTATCCAAACGTTGTTTTATCCAAAAACAGCCTGGTTCTTCGACTGGATGGCACGTATTTACGAAAACTAAACTCTGATTATCCATGGACTTGTTGTATTTGTGTAGTTTGCGCTCGGAGTAAGAGCACGCTGAACTACAGTAATGTGAATCCATTGTTTTCTCTTGGTTTATTGTGGATTTTAAAGAATAAACGGATATATTTAACAACCGCAGTGTCAGACAGTGTGCGGGAACTTGGAATAGGCTGGAACCAGCTTCATCCGGATGTAAGTTGTCGCCGGTGTGGTTTTAAAAGGTCACAAGAAGTCAAACCTTTTTTGACTATAGTTTTATACAGGCTAGATGATCCTAACAGGATTTTTTATCCAACTTTTTAAGTATTGACAGACTCCAAGTAATTATTTCAATTAAATGCAGTTATTCCTTTTATACAGCCACACTAATACACAAATACTCACAGGAAAGAACTTACTGTACATTCAGTTACTTTCTAAATTTAAAATAAATCTCCAGGTAATAATTGACTACATGCAATTCAAAACTATTAATAAAGGAGGATTTTCCAGTATAAAAGTTCATAGAGTATATGTTTTAAGAGTCAGAAACTGGAACAGAACAGGAACAGGAACTGCTACTGTAATACATGTTGTGTAAATATGTTGGCTATAATACTATATTTTCTTTTTTGTAGTTTGATAAGTGTGTCAAATGTACTTCTGAACATCATGAGGATCAAGACACTGGAAGGAGTTGAACCTGGGAAATGATTTTTCTTCTAAAGACAATATGGATGGCATGCACGTCACACAAATGCACTTTCATCGATGTGAAATGTCAGTAATTGTACTCTTATGTTCTTTCATGCGCTGTCTTCTTCACTTCAGCTTTATGGAATGTATTGTATTGTTTTATACACTGTCTGCTTGATTTTGCACTGTTATTGCCACCCAAATTTTCCCTATGTGGATAAAGAAAATATTATTACTATTATACTATATTACCAAACTGCTGACCATAATCAGCTTTTCTAATAATACCTTTTTTAAATGTTTAAAAGTATGAACAAGAAGTTTGACTTTGTGTAAATAGGCCACATAATAATAATAATAATAATTAAAAAATGGAATCAAGAATGTGTTTTTTTTTTTTGTCAGGAATTCATTCTACAATCCTAAAAAAAAAGAACCTTGAGATTTGAATCTGGATCAACTAATATAAGTAGAGCCCAATCTGGCTCTATTCTATTATATACTTTTTGATCACTTCTCTATCTACCTATCTATCTATCTATCTATCTATCTATCTATCTATCTATCTACCTACCTATCTATCTATCTATCTATCTATCTATCTATCTATCTATCTACCTACCTATCTATCTATCTATCTATCTATCTATCTATCTATCTATCTACCTATCTATCTATCTGTCTGTCTGTCTGTCTCTCTCTCTGTCTGTCTGT